CAGTAGAAATATTTTGGGGAAAATATTCCATAGGAAAAGTCAATAAAATTCGATTCTTTTATGCAACTCATTCTATTGAGATATTTTCTGTAGAATTTATTCGCCTCAATTTTTCCAAGTTTTTTTATTTTCCCAATTTAAAAAAAATCAAAAGAAAAAAAAATTTTACACACTTTTTCCATAGAATATTTTCTATCGAACATTTCAATAGAATTGTCCAGCGAATTCGCTAGGTTTTACTAATAAATTTTTTCGTGCGTGAATTTTGAAATTTTGACTCTCATTTGCCCGTCAAGAGCTGAGTGAGAGACACAATAAACTATAATTACATAATTTTACAAGAATCCCCAGAATAAATCGCCAGAGTAATCTCCATATTTTCCCAATTACAAGAAGCAATAATCAGTGAATTAATGTATGACTTCCTCGTGGATTTACGATAATAATATTTACTTCCACCGTTCACTCCAGATCCTACAATGAAACTGATTCGCCAAACATTCGGTCCGTCAATCGCGACTGAACTCCGCCGTCGGATCCGCGCGTCACAATAGAGAAGTACATATTCAATTAAACGAGACACCGGAGTAAAAGAACAAGCAAACGCGGTATGCATTACAATACGGGGAGTTTTGCCACCACTGAACTCACTCATGTCTCATTTCAAGTGTTAATAAATAGCCGCGTTATTACCACCAAGCTAATTCCTCGACCACTCTCTTCATTTAACGAAGCCAATTATGACAGGCATAAATGTGAGCACTTAATAGCTATGTACACAGCCGCACGCGTTTCAACTTGCCCAGTGGTGGACGAGGTACGATTGACACAAATTATCTTCGAATGCGCGAAACAATCGCCCTTAGATCGATTCAATCTACAATTGCCGCCGGTTTTCTGTCGCTGGTCCACGATTACCTTTCGTACAGTAAAATTTGCCACGATTTTCTAGGCAATTTTTATCCAACTTTTCTCTCCGCGCACCCAACGGCAAGATTTTTTGTGAGTGCGATGATAGAATGAGTAAGGATTGTACAGCGAGAAAAAAATATTTTTGCCAAATATCCATTTACTTGAGAGAAGTATTTATTTTTTCGGTACCGTATTTCTCCAGTCGAGTCATTCCCAGGTAATCCTCATTAGTTTTCAATTATGAGAATTATATTGCTCTTGAAGATGGTCATGTGAGTTGTGACTTGAATTAACTTATTGCGGGACTTGATTCAACTCCCGCAAGAAAAAAATAAAATAAAAAATACAAAATTAATCGAAATTCTTCCCTCTCAAAAATTGAGACATTTAGAAAAAAATGAATAATCATTGGACGAGTTAACTCAAGGCCATGTACAACATAGTCATCCTCTAGAGCAACATGATTATCATAATTGAAACCTAATGAGGCTCGCCTGGAACGACTCGATTGGAGAAATCTGATTTTGAAAAAATAAATGCTTCTCTCAAGTAAATGAATTTATAAAAAATCATTTGTTTTCTCAATGCACGTGTCTATCCTTTAGTATCCAACGGGAATATAGAATAATTTCTTCCTCACTAGAATGATGGGGACAATTTTTGAACCATCTTACCACAAGGAAACACTGAGACCGTCCGCGCTCCGACGGACGGGCTTTGGATCGACAGCGATATGTTTGCACTACTGATTAACACACCGCCATGAGAGAAAGGAATATTCCCAAGAAGTTCCGAATTTACGAACTGTTTTGAGAACGCTTCACGAGGTGATTGGAAAAACGAGGGAGAATATTTATAAAATCGATGAATAGTAGATTAATTTGACGATTGGCGATTTACATATTGAACGAGATGTGAATTTCCCTTGCTTTGAGGATATTCAGTCAGTTATAACACTTCGAGAGCCTCGAGATGATTGAGTATTTCCCAATAGCTTGTTGCTCAGAGAAAAAAAACCTGAACGTTTTTATCAGACTTTCATTGGTGAATTTTATTTCATACAATGACATGATTGTTGGAAAGGAAATTCTTCTCTTTTACTCTGAATAATGCGCACTCAATCTGCAAAAAAGAACAAACGTGAAACACATTCTGCGGTCTCGCTTTTTCATGGGACTACTAGGAAATATTTGACGCATTGCTGCATCAAGCGGACCCATCGTGGCCGTTTCTCAGCTGAAAATCTCGAGAGATTGAAAAGGTATTTTTCTTCACATGAATTTAAAATGACTAAGAACGTTTCTTAAATTGTATTCCTCTTTAAATCGTACTTCACTTCGTATTCTCGTCCCGTAAATTAATGAATCATTATGCAGTTTAATTTTTGTCTGAGAAGCTGAAAAATAACAGAGAAAGGTATCAATCACTGTTGCAACGCAATAATTTTTTAACGAAAATCATATTTTGGATGGAAAAGATCATTCTGATTTTGTAATAAAAAATATTCGCAGCACATACAATTAAATTTCATTTTCTTTGTCATTTTGTATAATTTACTGTAGATCTAGATCGGGTCGTGTGTACCAGAAGATCATTTCATAGCCTTATACTTATACTTTACTTTCCATTCATCGGCTTTCATCCCAGAAGTGTAAGAAATATCAGCAGCGGTAAGTAGAATAATGCTGTACCAGTTGAGAAATAATATTTGACGGAACTTCGAACCAAACCCATTACCCGAGAGCTTCAGCAGATGGCGCTCATAGTGAGTATTCAATACTCTGGAAGAAATATGAAGGCAGTGCCTGGTAAAAACAGAAGCAGAAACCTGTTGATTTTTACCAATGTGTCGTATTGTAGGGTACGCGTTTACAGACGACAGGTCAATTACCGACAAATGTATTGAAGGACTTTTAGGATTTTATTTTATTTTATTTAAAATAGATTGAATTAAAATAGATTAAATTTAATTAAAATAGATTAAAATAGATTGAATGATGAAAAACTGCTGAAAAGTTATCCAAAAAAATGTGGCATCAGTGTCCAATGAATCATGATTACGCTCACCTCACCTGAATAAAAAAAAGCCATTGCTTGTGGCTTCGGGCCCTTTGGTGGCGGAAAAATCTCCCAGTTTTCACTCATTCCATCCAAAAGTTCCCTCCTCTGTAATTTGAATCATTGCGATGTTAAAATTCTGCTGAACCTTGCCAAATCTAGAAAAGAAGGTGAAAGCACCGCACACAAACGTCAGATCAATCAAAAACACACTCCTCAACTCGATGACGAGAGGTGCGTCATTGTAATAGTGTCGCAGAGTCAAGAACTGTAATTACAATGCACTATTATCTTAGATAAAATATCTGAAACGTTGAATGCTTCACCCGAGGTAGAAAGTTGCCAAAAAATCCAAAAAATCCAATTCAGTAGCGAAGTGGTACAAGTCAATTTTGACTACTGACCAGTTTTCAATGAATATCTCGGAATCTAAGGGGGATAGCAAAATTTTTGTGTAACCTTTTTTGTAGAGCCGATTAAGAGCTACAACAAATGTAATTACGAAAATTTCGCTATCTCCCTTAGATTTGGAAATATTCCTCAAAAACTCAACTGGGAGATGAGTCGACTTGACCCGTTTTACCACTTCGCTACGGAATTGCACATAAACATCGATGAGAGAGTTTCTTTATTGGAGCGGCATAACCAGACACCTATGGAGGTGGTCAAGAACTTGAATTGAAACGTAAATTGATAGCGAGACTTGCCCCAAAATTCCATTTGCGAGAGCTCCCACTGTACTGAGACCCGCTATTCACCGAGGATTCGTCTTACCCTCATTCTTCGGCTCCCCCTCTCGCACCTAACAAATAATGTATGCGGTAGTTTTCCGGGGCTAGGGAAAATAATAACTGCCTAGAAAAGAGTTTTTATGTTTGACAATAAAATTGCTCATCACCACTGTGCGTGAATTTTTTCCGTGAAACACACGAAGGGGTAAAAGACGCGTAGCTTATATCAGATCGCTGGGAAGGACTGACAGGTGGAACACGTATATTCAACACTCGCTCAGGGTGCATTGTCCCCGAAGCGCTTGGTAGTAGTCCAGGCCACGTCAGCGAAACTGAAAAACACAGAATCTGCAGGTGAAAATTGATGAATTTCGGAGCTTCCGCGGAAGTCGGCGCAGCGAAAGTAGATTGCGGCGGGGCAATCCAAATGATTTTCTCCCAATATCATTTGGTTTCGTTAACCGTGTGTAGACAGTTTTTGAAAGGGGCAGAACATCCGAATGTACACGTTTTGACAAAAAAGCGCTCAATTTTTAGTTTGTTTTTACAGAATCAAACAAGATTCGTTATGGTCCCAAAGCAATTCTATCTGCATTCCTGTGCTGCAGCTAGTTTATAATAATGTGAAGAATATTCCCATATTTATGCTCTCGATTGTGAAGAAGACGCAGTTGTCTTGCTTTTTCCATTGACCTTCGTGGCATCATCACTTTGTCGTTAATTCCCTATTCTCAGGCTTCCTATGGTTTCTCGAAACCTTTCGATGTTTCTTCTTCAATTCCAAATGGCTTCATCCCCAACTCAGATACGGGCAAGTGCCAATCCGTTCGATATTTAAAGCACGAGAAGATGAACCAAGTCATAACGAACCGCAACCCGCGTGAAAGTTTAGCTCAGGTTTCCCTATCTTATCTCTCCCTATCAGATATTTATCCGGCACTGGCCCGCATGTTCCCCTTAGACTTTCGGATCAGTATCCGGACAAGGTCTACGGCAGCCCCTCGATCCGATCACGTTCATGGAGGAATCCGATACGTTTTGATAAATAACTTCTTTCATATCCCGAGTTACATAACTTTCCCCCAGACTTCAATACTCCTACAGAGACGTATGATCCTACTTGCTCAGGCAACCTCAGACAGCCTCTTTTGAAAATGTAGTATTCTGCACATGACGCAAATAGTATTGACCATGGACCTCCGATCCGCGGAATGTCAGCGATCAAATGTCAATGTCGATGTAAAGTAATTCTGTAAACATCACTCCTCTATGCAAGTCTCAGTCCTCTGCTGTCTCCTACCACGGACAGTTGCATTGTGCATAGTGTGTCTGAATCAGTTCTCAAGCCATGATCACACCCATTACAATCACTCTAATCTTCCTCGTGCTGTCCGTTCACGGAGAAGATGAGGTGTGCACAGCAGGTGAAAATTTCGATATCTGCAAAAGGTCTGACACCGTGACCCGAGTGACCCGCAATAACATGCGTTCCATCAGCACAGTTCTCCCTTTGGAAACGGCTGGCGATGTCACTATCGGCCCAAAGGCCTTCAGTAAGTTGAATATAACTGCTCTCCTTATCAATCTCCGCACCGATGGTCTGTACAATAAATCGCCTAGCAACTGTTTGTCGCTGCAACCAGACTCGTTCGCTGAGCTGGACAATTTGGCGTCTCTTTCTATCAGAAACGCGAACATTAACTACACTGGAAATCCATTGGCTCCACTCGATTCGCTAGCATCTTTGAGCTTGTTAAGTTGCGGAATTAGTGACGTTCCAGTGGATATGTTGACGACCTTACCGAATCTGTTAGAACTAATTTTGAGAGACAATCATCTGCGCGTCGTCCGTCCAAACGCTTTCCTCTCCGTGAAGAATTTGAAGTACCTTGATTTGAGTAGAAATGGAATCACTAGTCTTGAACCAGGATGTTTCAGTGGATTGGCGACGCTGGAAATATTGGACCTATCTTTGAATTTTGTTACCGCCGGGCCTGCTGTCCTCAGTGGATTGAGTGGCTTGAAGAAGCTTGATTTGATGAACGCTTTCGATACCAGCGGATTCCAACCTGTTATACTCCAGGATGTGCCAGCTGTCACTCATCTTCGATTAGATTCGAATAAGATAACTTCTTTACAAACCACAGCGTTCGATAATGTTCCCCTATTAAGTGGCCTTTCATTGGGTGGAAACTTCTTGCGGATCATTCCCAAAGGGCTTTTTGGACAACTAAAATCTTTGGAGGAACTCGATTTGAAAGAGAATACAATTGAAATGATAGAACCAGGCGCATTTTCTGGGTTGAATCTCACCACTTTGGATCTGTCTCACAACGACATCCAGAAAATTGGCACGGGAACCTTTACTGGGCTTGTGGTAAATAAACTGATCCTTCAGAAGAACCAAATTGAAGAGCTGGGGCCGCAGGCCTTCGACGGATTGACTGCTGAGGAGATGGATCTGAGCCAAAATTCTTTGGAAAAAATTGACGCTGAAGACTTCTCCGGTCTCAAAATCGGAACATTGGATTTGAGCAGCAATCGAATGGAAGACATCGCTCCGGGAGCATTCAACAATACTGAAGTTAGGAAACTTAGGCTGAACATCAATCCTATTGGTACTGAGGGGAGAACTACTTGGGGTCTTTCCGACTCAGTCGAAGTACAAGTGTAAAGTCGTGAGGGTTTTCTTTAGTTAAGTATAAAGAATTAAATTCATGTTGGCTAGATCTTCTAGTGTTCTTGCATTCCGATCGGTTGGTGCAATTCACGCATTGCGCTCTAGTTGAAAATCATTCAAACTGATCCAGTTCAGTAGCAAAGTGGTCAAACGGTTTAAGTCAATTCAGTCTTTAGTTGAGTTTTACATAAATATTGCCTAATTTAAGGGAGATAGCGAAATTTTCATAATAACCTTTTCTGTAGAGCGAATTGAGTGCTACTAAAAAGGTTATGAGAAAAATTTTGCTGTCTCCCTTAGATTTCGAGATATTCATTGAAAACTGGTCAATACCCAAAATCGACTTGAACCGTTTGACCACTTCGCTACTGAGTTGGTGCAGGGGACTTTACCGGATGAACGGATCCGGAAGTTTACGCATTTTCTCAAGTTATGGGTATATTGAGGTTCTTCTGCCAGGAAAATAGGGTGACACTGATCTTGTGGAAAATGGAACTTTGTAAAATATAATTAAACGTTTTTTGATCTCGACAACGTCTTACGAAAAATTGTTTTCTTCCGATAATTTGATTGCACCGATTGCTGTGATAACTCTCCGCCTTCAAAATATGTGTGAAATTTTTTTTTTCGATTTGTGACAAATCGATTTTAAACTCATCTTCTGTTCAAAATGAACGTATTTATTCTTCTCTCAGTGCGGCGCCGATCGCATTATCAATTCTCGACTTAATAATAAAAATAAACCTCATTAATTTGAAGAAACTCCAAACTTCACCATTTCCCATATATTTATCGATCCTTGCCCTCTCAGTTCCGCTCCTTTCCCATCCGGGATGACGTGATGTCCGCGAAGCGTTTCGGGTGCGTGTTCTACCTGTCAGACCTGACAACCGATCCAAGTTTTCGTGTTATTTCACCCCTTTCTCTACTGCTCGGAAATAAAAGTTCTAGCATAATGACAAGCAATTTTTTTGTCAAATCCAAACTTTTTCTAGGAAGTCATTATTTTTGCTATTCCCTGCACAACGGGTGCATAAGTTATCTGTCTCACGTGGAAGGGGAGTTGTAGAGTGGGGTTGGATCGACCTAGGAGTATTCAGGAGGCTGGCAACGGCCGCTTAGTTCCATAAAAATATCCGGAGGAAAAAGCTGAGACGTGTGGAAGTCCTTGCAAAATGGAATTCTGGGATCAGTATTACTTTCGGTGCATGAAGTTTATGTCCTACACGCTAGGTGTGTGGCCCTATCAGACGAACAAAGAAGCTTTCCTCTATCGCTGTTTGGCTGCGGCAGGCTTTTTCGGTACAGTTACACCCCAGGTACGAAATTAATTCGTCGAATTTCCTCGGTATTATATTTAATCCTGGTTACAGCTCCTGGCACTCAAGAACTACATCGATGATATGCCTCTCGTTATAGAGTCGATCAGTGTTTTTTTAATTGATCTGACATTCGTTTGTGACGCTTTTACCTATCTTTTGAATTGGGATAAGGTAAGTTTATATTTTTTTCTGCGGACGGAAGCTTTGTAATCGCTGCATTCGACGATCTTTTAATGAAACGTGAAGATGTGACGGTTTTAGAAAATGTGGGGGTATTTCCGAACGTGAGCGCGGATTTTTCGGATATTTTTTTGTGAATAGTCGCAGGGAAGAAGTAAAGTTGAAGTTCAACGTCTGAAAGTTTATCCCGGAATTGGTTTTGCTTGGGCGCAAGAGGCGTGACCGTCAATCTTCCGATTCTTCGGTATTAAAAGAGTTTCCGATTTACGTTGATTAAGTTTTAAATACACTAATTGAGGTTTAAACATGATAATATAATTGATAATTCAAATTTCCGATTGAGGATTAATTAAGTATTCTATAATATGGAACTGTCATTTTTTTATTTAGTGAATAATACTAAATTTCTTATCAGGGATTTAAGATTATCAAAATACTCGTCAATCTTTTCATCTAAATTACTGATTAATAAATAATCAAACAATTATCCCGCTGTCTTCTAACGGGATCAATCAAAATATAAATCCAATTCACACAGAGTTTTTGGGATATTGAAGTTGTTTAAATTTTTTCATTTAGCGTTTACGACTGCTGGATTCATTGTTACAATTGAACTTTTTTGTTGAATCCCGTTTTTTTTATTTGGACATTATTCTGTTTATTTTCGCGTATCTATGAACAATGACTTTTTGAGATTTACAGATGAGAGCGATTTTGGACAAATTGAGAGAAAATTGGGACACATTTCCAGAAAAAAATGGCCGAGAGGTGCTTCACAAGTATTCTGTGCAAGGGCAAATGTTGGCCGCTATATATTCAGGTGATACAACAATCGCATGAAAAAAAAAAATATCGTCGATCTATTTAAAAAACACACGGAGAGAAATTTTCTAGAAAAATTCTAGTACGAGTACTGAAAAAAATTACAATCCACCGGCTGTGCAAAATTCTAGTGCTGTTAAGGCAAAATTTCTAGGGATTTCTGAGAAATGTTCACAAAAATACTGGGAAAAATTCACGTTTTCCCCAATAAAATTTCTAGTGCCATACTGGAATTTTTTCCTGGCCGTTACTTGACGCCTCTTTTCCCGTACTAGCACTAGGATTTTTCCAAAAAATTTCTCTCCATGCAGTGGCCGAGTAATCGCTAAATTTTGAGAATGAGAAATTAAAGGCCCTATAAGCCGATAAACAGTAATAACAATACCAGGATGCCTCCGAGCGCTGTTATTATCGCTTAATAATGCTCATTTCCAATATTTATTGACATTCGAACTTCGGCTTCTAGGACCTCTGATTGATGCATTCATGTGTAATTCTTTCCTCACTTTGAAATAATTTACACAAATTATGTATTTCCTTCATCATAGAAGACACGCATTGAATCAAAATTTATAAATGAAACCTCACTACTTCGACCTTATGATTACTTTCCCCAATATTTCAAGAGCAGAATAACTGACCGATTATATTTGTTGTCCAGCTGGTTGCTTAACGACTGGCTTAGTTTTCACCTCGAAATCCTTACAACTGAAGATGTTGTACAAACTCTTGAATGTGAATGCTACTATCCCACAATTTTATATGCCGCTGGAATATCCCATGATCGACGTTGAAAAATACTACTACGTTATCGCAGTCACCATTGCAATATCCATCGTCATCCTGATAATGATGATAATCTCCTACGATTTGTTCTTCTTCCTCTGCGCTCAGCATGTTTGCGGATTGTTCGCTGCGGCAGGGTAATATTGAATTGAGGCCGTAAGACAGCGCTTACGAGAAACGCTATTGTTCGAAAACTATTGTTCACACGGCCCCAACAAACTTTTCCAGCTCATATGATCGCATGGCAGTAGCGAAGTGGTAAAACGCTCCAAGTCGATTTTTACTGTTTGCCAGTTTTCAATGAATATCTCAGAATCTAAGGGAGATAGCAAAATTTTTGATAAGACCTTTTCTATAGCATTCAATTCGCCCTACAAAAAAGGTCATTACAAAAATTTCGTTATCTCTCTTAAGTTCGGAGATATTCCCCAAAAACTCAGATGAGAGCCAAGTCGACTTGAACCGTTTTACCACTTCTCTACTGATAGGATTGCAGAAATTTTTTTTTCGGCCTGATGACGAAATACACTATTACTCTAGTTGCCTAAGTAACGTTTTTTCCTTCAAAGATGTTACATTGGACAAACGCCAGAGAACGAGAACGCATACAATCACCTCAGGACGTTTATCCAAATACACAATCGCGCGATTGAGTATGCAATCCAGAATGTCGTAAAGGGAATTATCGAATGTAATCAGTTTCTTTATTGGACAGATTCACAAAACTACTGGATAGCACCTTTCTGTGGAACAATATGGTTCTACTGGGAGTTTCAGCCATAAATATTAGCATAATTGGCCTGCAGGTGAGATCATCGCGTAGCATTTATCGCCTGAATAACTATTTCAACATGAAAAAAATTCACCAAACGCACTAGTGCCTCCTAAGATTGACTGACGCTTCAGGAAGATTTTATACAAGATTTATGATTCTTTCCGCAGATGGCGCGCCATTTGGATAGAATTGGAGAAAGTGTACAATATGGCCTTTACGTCTTCACAGTATTATCACGTTTCTTCGTCATATGTTTCTTCGCTCAAAGAGTAATGGATCACAGTCGCAGTATTCAGACCAGCTTGTATGGAAGCAATTTATCTGTACACTGACAGACGGGATTAGTTATTGTTAACAAATGGATTTGGTTGAAGGCCAGGGTCCATCTCATTACCGAAGTGGTAAAACGCTTCAAGTCGACTCATCTTCCAGTTGAGTTTTTGACGAATATTTCGGAATCCAAGGGAGATAGCGAAATTTTCGTAATGACATTTGTTGTAGCTCTCAATCGGCCCCGCAAAAAAGGTTATTACAAAAATTTTGCTATCTCCCTTAGATTCCGAGATATTCATTGAAAACCGGTCAATAGTAAAAATTGACTTGTACCGTTTTACTACTTCGCGACTGATTTAGTCTCACCAAATGTTCATTCATTAATAGTTAACGCGTCTCGTTTGGAATAAATGAATCATTCTATCAGTGTACCCCTTTAGTAGATAATGTTGGTTCACATCAACTTCAAACATTCCAGGGCAAATCTCCAGTGGTATAATATACCCACGAAATCGCAACTTCTGATACAACTTGCGATACTCAGAAGTCAAACATCGAGTACACTGGGGGCGGGAAAGACGCTGGTTCTCTCCTTGGAATTATTTGTTACAGTAAGATATCGTATTTTTCCTTCATTTCTTGAAGGGATTTCTTGAATTAGGAATAATTCTCATAGAGCAACTCTTTTCTGTCCATTAGGCCACGAAAACTTCAGCGTCGTACTTTACAGTCCTTCTAGCCATGCAATAGACTGACGTTCACTACGGCTCAATATTAGTTGTCTCGTAATTAGTGTTGTTATTACAACTGATTTTGAATAGATAACTGCGTTGGTGTTCGCTGTTGGAAATAGACTACTGTCCTTGACTTATTTCAATTGCACCGAGAGAAATGTTCAGTAAAAATTACAGAACGCTCTGAAAAATTCCGTGACAGCGAGGAAAAAGTGAGCGACGAATAGAATTTTTCTCCGTTGACCGAGGAAAATTTACCGAACGTGAGGGTAACTTGTGAAGCGGTAAAACGGTTCAAATCGTGTTCAAATTTTGGATATTGATCAGTTTTCAATGAATATCTCGAAATCTCGAGGAGATGGCAAAATTGTTGTCAGAACCTCTTTTATAGCCCTCAATTTTCCCTACAAAAAAGGTTCTTATAAAAATTTCGCTATCTCCCTTAGATTCGAAGATATTAACCCTTCCGTCTGTGCCCCTGCCCTTCAGACGGATACAAAACAATCCCTTGCGTGCGGCAAATTTTATTAAACAAGAGAATAATTTACGCATCTATAGATGTATTTTTTTACCTAGAAAATCGTAAGATGTCTACTAAAAACCTGTATTTTTTCACTGAATTACATTTCGCTTCACGATTACCATTCGTACAGTCAAATTTGTCACGATTTTCGAGGTAATTTTTTAGGTAATTTTTATCCAACTTTTCGCTTCGCGTATTATATCAGGGTAAAAGAGGTACACCACGCCCTCGTTATTGGTGTGGCAGGTATATCTGGAGAGTATCCATGGCAACCCCTCGGGCCAGAGATTAGGGGATGGTATCGCAATCCATGAGGGTTGGACCTACCCCCGGCAGTATCTCTCGATCGTATCCCTTTTAATTTCAGAAAAAAAGCAGAAATGGAGTGAATGACAATTAGAGCATTAATATATGTGACTGTTCCGATGAAAAAGGTTCCCTTTTTGTCATTTAGTTTTCAAGATATTCAAGTTCCTATTTCTAAAACGGTAAAAGTCAATTTTGACTATTGACCAGTTTTCAATAAATATCTCGGAATCTAAGGGAGATAGGAAAATTTTTGTTATAACCTTTTTTGTAGAGCCGATTGAGAGCTACAACAAATGTAATTACGAAAATTTCGCTATCTCCCTTAGATTCGGAAATATTCCTCAAAAACCCAACTGGGAGATGAGTCGACTTAAACCGTTTTACCACTTCGCTACTGAATTGCTAAAATCGAATGATAATTGCCAAATTCTCATCGGTCAACTTGCTTTTTGCACTGAGAATAATTATAAACAATTAATTTAAAAAAGTAATATCGAATCTGGCAGGGAAAGGGCAAAATGCAAAGGCACGGCTCTAGTTCTAGAAAAAAATTTTCCTCGAAGCTATTGAATTCTTTTTCTGCATTGGCTACCCGATGACCCCACGGCTTCGCACTATTCAAAAGTCTTTCCTAGATAGTTTAATTTACAACGGGGTAACAAAGGCCGCCGTTACGTACGTGAAAGGATACCGGCGTAAGGGTCAGAGAGTCGGATGAGAGGTGGTCTGTACCGTATGCGCGACGTCATCTCGTGAGGACGCGTGTTTTATGGATTCAGGGGTAAGGACGAAAGATATACGATAGGGTAGAAAGATACTGGTTGGGGAGGTGGTTGTAAAGTTTTGTTATTAGGGGCACTGGGGCTAGATGATGGCCCCAGAGCCAATGCCGTGAGATTGTTGAAGGGAACTGCGTTACGGTAGCACCCTAGTTCCCCAGTGAATCAACCAATCCTCTCAATCTCCGGCCACCCTGAAGAACTTTTTATGAACGGGGATGCCGAGCGCATTTCAACGCCGCTCGTAAGAAATGTAATGGCGCACATTCCCAAGCTTCTTCGTCAAATATTAACGTCAGCTTTTTCTGGATTAATCTCGTTAAAGTGATCGTGAACTCTGTATTCTATCCTTCAATATGCCGTAACATTTTTGGAGCGAAAACTTGAAGACTTTTTAGGTGTAATTGATGTTGATTCATCTTGGCAATCAGGAATTTTAGGATTTTGTAAAATTGACTTATAGTTCTCGTTTTATTTACTTCATTGGTTGTCTCATCTGAAAACCGAATTCAAAAATTTTCTGCTTGGGCAAACGATCGAGAGCTGGAACTCATTTTTCCGTACCGATCTCCACTTTTCCTCGTCCGCGGATTGGTATTGACTCTTCCCCAAACTTGTAAAACTGAAAATCACTACTCGGAGAGAAATGTTCAGTCAAAATTACGGAACTCACAATTCGCTCACCGATTACGGAATCGACTCGGGGAATTTAAGGGACGGCATTGTACTTTTTCACAGGCGATTCAGGTAAAAATTACTACAACCACATTTCGCTCCGGAATTGCGGAAAAGATACGTAATTTTTATTGAATATTTCTCTCCGCGTACGGAAAAATATCGTTCACGCCTAGTGCCATTGGTTTTTTTTACTCGCGTCGTTGGCACGCGCCCTGAAATATACTATTCTCTTTTAGCAATAATTGAAAAGTCAACTGTGGTGTAATTTCAGTGAATTACATTCAGCCAAGCCCATTAGTATATGTGAATACTCAATAGTACGTGCGGATTGTTAAAAAACAGGTAGGAATTCCAACCGTGTCAAATTCTCAAAAAATAGTAGAAAACGGTTTATTACCCAGATATTCGGAGGTATATTATTCTGGTAGTTCAGGTATACAAAATATCGGTGACTCTTTTGGAGGTTCCAACGTAAGGAAGTGCATTGGTGTTGTAAACATGGGACGGATTGCAGCGGAAGCAATAACCGTAGCTAAGTATGCGGAGGAAAATACGGGCATTGAAGTCTACCAAGTGATTGCGGACATGCCGGCGTCAACCGGTTGACAACATCGGGATTTTTTTTAGGACGACAACGATTCCTGCTTGGACAGTTGTCACGGAATTTTGAACATTTTGGATTTTATGTTTGGGCTCTTAATTTTTTATATTAGAATTATTGGGCATAAATAATTTGAAAATTATTTGCGCCCAATAATTTTCAAATTTATTATAAATACTTTGAAAATTTTTCCGCTGGATTTTGTTTTGTATTACACTGCAGAATGCGAGTGGAAAAAACTTGAAAATTGTTGCCCAAGCATGTTTATAGGAAAAATCTCAAGAAAAAAATTCAATAGAATTTTCTAGCGAATTCGCTAGATGTTCTATTGAATTTTTTCATACGTACACATGAGATCAGATTTTCATCTTCACATGATATAGAATATTTTATGCCATTGGGCCCAAAAATGGCGACCCAACCGAGCGAAGCGAACTAGAATCAAGATTTTTCGGTCTTGTGACACAAATAGCTATTAATTCTCTCCACGAAATATAGTCAACAGAGAGTTAAAAATTTTTATCTTAAATTTCCGGTACTCTTTTCAGAAATTTTTATCGAATAGAATTATCACTGAAATTTCAAGGAATTTCGTCATTGAAAATTCAGAATTTCGGGGAAAAATCGACGAGAACTGTAAATGTCAGTTCCATTTTTCCCTGGAAATGAATAGAAAACCAGAAAATTCCGGTGAATATATTGACATTCCGGAAAAAATTGTAACAAATTATGAATTATTTTAGATTTCACTGAAAATTCAATGTAATTTGGCACTGAATATTCATATTAGATTGGAAAATTGAATAAATAGAATAATTCTCGTCTTTCTGTTGCTTAAAATTCTGGAATTTTACAGAATTTTCCCTGAAACCTGCAATTTTACGATGTTTTTCTCCCTAAATCGCATTTAGTGTCACTCTCCTAGAAATTAGTAGCCAACTGTCCCTGAAATTTAATTTTTTTCTAACACTGTATTCAAAAATTTTTCTCCCACTGTATATTCCTGACTTTTGATTACCTCCGATTCGCCGACCAGAATACGCGCCCGTCAGCGAAACGATACAATCTGCTTGCTAACGACCTGTCAAATCCTGAAACAACCACCACTGGACAGCGGCCTCCACAGCATCCCTCTCGGAGCCTGCCCTCCTACAAAGTATTTTTATGAAATCATTTGAACGACTGAATGGTTCCTTCCATCGGTACGAAAATGCCAATATTTTGATACTTTATAACATCCCAGAATGTTGTACTGACTGTTACCGACGTGAGTGGCCTTTTTACGAGGACTAAAAGGAAAATTACGCGGCGCAATGTCGACGCTCAATTACCCATATCGAACAAAGTCTATGCTTATCAGATGCTCGGCTCGTTCGCCATTCCCTCCGATATCCCTTCCATCCTGGCCCGGTGGATCCGTCGGATGGAGTTCGACCCTAAAACATCGGGCAGCCATCCTCTACCGCTCACTTGGGAGACGGTTGCTAGGATACCCTCGCATGGCTGCATTTATGACATCGAGGGCGTGGTGTCTACTGCTCTGACTTCAAGACGAATGATCCTCTAGCCGATATATGTGGCGTTGTATTTTAAACCTTCCTAATAAAAGAACATGAATTTACGTGGGTTTTCAATTTAAATTCCGCCACAGCTTGTCCATTTTTTTATCGCTGTCCGCACGGAGAGAAATATTCCGGAACGAAATGTGGTTGTAGGAAATTTTACGGAACTGTCACGGAATTTTTCCACAGCGTTCCGTAATTTTAAATGAATCTCCTGTGAACAATTACGATACCGCCACTTTAATTTTTTTGAATTAATTCCATAATCGATGGTCGAAAAAAATTGAAGGTTAACCCCTTTCCATTTTTTTCGATGAAAAAATTTTTCACCCCCAAAACCGGCGGGGGTCGTTTCTTCATGTTAAATGACCCCAATTGAATTCGCAAACGGGGCCCATTGGTCCCCAACGTCCNATGTTAAATGACCCCAATCGAATTCACAAACGGGGCCCATTGGTCCCCAACGTCCATAGGACCCTCCTCACCACAGGATTTCTGATTGAATTTGGGAAATTTTGGTTTTTTGGCCATATCTCCGTCAATTTTCGTCAAAAACCAATTTGATCATGACAAAAGTTGTGGGGAATGAGCTCAGCTTTAATTTCCAGGAGAGAAAAATGGGAAAGGACCATTAGAACCGGAGATATTTCCAAAAAACTGAAATTTTAGTCAGTTTTTGGGTCCTATCTCCGTCAATTTCCGGCAAAAATGAATTTGACCAACACAAAAAATGTGGGGAATGAGCTCAGCTTTAATTTCCAGAAGAGAAAAATGAGAAAGGACCATTAGAACCGGAAATATTTCCAAAAAACTGAGATTAACATCTCAGTCACTAAAGTCAGTTTTTGGGTACTATCTCCGTCAATTTCCGTCAAAAATGAATTTGACCAAGACAAAAAATGTGGGGAGTGAGCTCAGCTTCAATTTCCAGGAGAGAAAAATAAGAAAGGACCATTAGAACCGGAGATATTTCCAAAAAACTGAAATTGTAGTCAGTTTTTGGGGCCTCTCTCCAGTTCTAATTGTCCTATCTCATTTTTCTCTCCTGGAGATTGAAGCTGGGTTCATTCCCCACAACTTTTGTTGTGGTCAAATTCATTTTTGACGGAAATTGACGGAGATATGGCCAAAAAACCAAAATTTCCCAAATTCAATCAGAAATCCTGTGGTGAGGAGGGTCCTATGGACGTTGGGGACCAATGGGCCCCGTTTGTGAATTCGATTGGAGTCATTTAACATGAAGAAACGACCCCCGCCGGTTTTGGGGGTGAAAAATTTTTTCATCGAAAAAAATGGAAAGGGGTTAGCCTTCAATTTTTTTCGAGGATGATTGGTTGACACGTTGCGTATTATTGTACTACCGGCCGACCCTTATAGGAATTTCTGCGTATCACACGCCGAGTGTCACATGCAGCGTGTGAGACGCTGCGTACTGTACTATTGGTCGACCCTTATATGAATTTCTGCGTGTGACACGCTACGTGAGGCAATGCGAATAGCCATGGCGTTCAAATAAATTAAGGGATCCTCGTCTTTACGCTGCTTAAAATTCTGGAATTTTACTGCATTTTTCCTGAAACCTGAAATTTCATATTTTTTTCCTCCTAAATCGCACTCAGTGTCACCGTCCTGAAAATTCCCAGTCAACTGTTCATGAAATTTCCTGTTTTTTTCTAACAGTGTATTTTGAATTTTGCGACAAAATGAATCGACTCCGACGAGAGAATCGACTCGACTCAGAGAAAACGATCCAAAAAATCGAGAATCGACTCTCGACGAATCGATTCTAAATAAATTCGAGGTGGAATCGAAGACTCCCATCGAGTGAAGTTTTAATGCACCGGAATTTTCGTTATCGCTGGCAGTTTCCTGTGGGAGAGCAAATTCTCATCAAATTCTTGTAGAATACGCACTTCCGTCAGTCAGCAATAGCCAATTTTTGCTCAACATTCAACGCTAGTGAAGCTGTGCTCAAGATTCAAAGACCAGTGGAGATAAGGACTTGATACTGTGTTGTGTTGAGTACAGTGAGAACGAATTCTCATTGCGTGTCATTAAAGCTTTGTGTGATTGTCATTAAATGATAATTCAGAATGGCAACTCCCAGGGACCATAGCAGGCCAGGAGTCATTGTATTAGGCGGTACACATGAAATATTTTTTCTCCAACAACATTACATTTTAAATTTCTGCATTCTCCACTTCTTTGCATTCAATTTTTTTTTTGTTTACAATGAAAAAACATGAAATGTTTTTTTCCAATTTCCTGTGCCAACAATATTACATTTACGTATTTTCCCTTTCTTTACAAGGAACTTTTTTTGTTTATAATGGGAATGAAAAATTTCTTATACGACAGGATGTGGCTTCATTGGGCGGAATCTTGTGGCTTACCTGATTGAAAATGAGCTGGTCTCTTTTCTGCGAGTCATTGATAAAGTACCTCCACAAACAGCCTGGCTCAATGATAAACATCGAAAAAATTTTGAAAATCCTCTAGTCGAATTTCGAAGTGCTAACCTCATTAATTCAGGTACTCTCTCAATCTAGTGCACGTTTTATGAGCCCATAAATGCAGCTGCATATCTATCTAGATTGGCACGTGTGGAAAAATTGAATAGAAAAACCTAACGAATTTGCTAGATAATTTTCTTGAATTTCCGTTGAACTTTGTGTTAATTTTTGACTGATTCTATTGAGATATTTTCTATAGAATTTCGTCGACTTAAATTTTCAATGTTTTTTGTTTGATATTTTATTCGTGAAAAGAATAAAATAAATTTTACTAATAATTATAATACTAATAATAATTAAATAATGAATCAGTTGTACAGAAAAATCGAATTCTATCGATTAACTAATAGAAAGTTCAATATAAATTTGATAGAATTGTCTATCGAACTAGGTTTCTCTATGAATTTTTTTCGTGCGTGAGACCATTCAAAAATTTAATTTTCTCACAATTCCAGGTTCTTACCAAAATGCATTTGCTTGTGATGAACCCATCGATTTTGTATTCAACTGCGCTGGAGAGACTAAAAGTGGTCAAACCGATCCCGTTTACAAGGAGGGCATCTATAAATTGAGCATGAATTGTGCTCAGCAAGCTGCCAAACTCGGGGTTAAAAGATATGTAGAGATATCCGCTGGGAACATGAGCTCATCTGAAAAGGTCTCTCATTACAAATCAATTACAATAAATATTATTTGTGACTTCATTATGAATCACTCACAATTGGGATCAATCAACAGTCATTTCCCATACATCTCACAATCTAAAGAATTATTATAGGATGACTCATATAATTAATGATTTAGGCGCCATTGAAAGAGGACGAGACCCCGGATCCCTGGACGTACGTTGCAAAATACAAGCTGCAAGTAGAAAATGACTTGAAGAAAATTCCGGATTTAAAGTACACCATCCTGAGACCAGCAATAATATACGGACCAGGGGATAAAAATGGACTGGGTAATAATCGTTAATTTATTTATTCTTCTTCTGGCACATAAATTAATGGCTCCTGTTGCTTGTTCAGTACCTCGTCTAGTCGTTGGTGCTGTTTACAAACACCTTGGCGAAATGATGAAGCTCCTTTGGGGACCAGACCTCCACATGAACACTGTTCACGTCCGGGACCTTGTTCGAGCAATATGGCATGTGGCTAACAGAGATGACACTATTGGTCAGACGTACAATGTAGTCGACGAAGCCGATTCGACACAGGGATCAATAAGTGCCATTGTTTCAGAGATATTTAATATCAATCATGATTATTGGGGGACTGCATTATCCACTTTGGCTAAAGTGAGTTGAGTCATCCAGACTATTCAAATGCATCTTTTCAATTGGAATATTATATTATATTATATATTAATATAATACAATAATATTAATATATTATTAAATGTTGTTTATCATTTCGATTTTTCTGTACAACTGATTCATAATTATTATATAATATTATTGTATTATATAATATATAATATAATAATATATTATAAAACAATATAATTATATGATATACAATATACATGAAAAAAATATTCCTGAATTGAGTGTAAAATATACTTGAATCAAGTATATTTAATAGAAAAAACTCAATAGATTTTCATGCGTTTTTATGGAATAATCACCATCTGTGGACTATATTTCTTACTAGAAATTGAAAAAAGAAGTAATTCTAATGATCTTTGATGCCATTTGACTAGTGTAGAATTCTTTAATATATAAAAATTGATTCAATAACTAATAAACGAATTCGTTATTCGATAGACGGATATGAATTCTGTAGTCGAAGAAGTGAATGATAAGCACATGGGGCCGTGGGCGGAAGTCTGCAATCAGGATGGAATACAGAATAGTCCTTTGTCACCGTACATCGATCAAGAATTACTTTATAATAAACATCTCTACTTGGAAGTTGGAAAACTAGCCAATACCGGGTTCACCTATGACTATCCTAAGCCGACGACAGCAGCTCTCAAAGAGGTGACTATAAATATTACATTATGAGGAAAAAACTTTTCTTAATTTTATTTCTTCTGTGTACCTTCGAATGGACATTATTTCAGTATTTTTAGTAATCATAAAAACACATGAATTATTCTTGTAAAATTAGTTCATTTAAGTAATCATTTTAATTTAGGTTTTGGAGGATTATGCATCGATGAAAGTCTTCCCCCGTTCCTTGATTCTGTGAAGGATCCACTTGGGGAACCATCACCAAGATCCAGTCCATTGCCACATGGAAATGAGTAGAAAAAATTCACTTCGTGCCTAATTATACAGAAGAATATTTAAATTTTAATGCCTACAATGTGGCCGTTCGGCGTATTTTGAAGCTCTTTGCTAAATTTTAAAATCGTCACGTTTGAAAAAATTTAATCGAAATACCTACCGAATTTGCCAGACAATTCTATTGAATTTTCTGTAGAATTCCCTCGGCTCAAATTTACAAGTTTTTGTCTGATTTTCTACATAAAAAAAAAGAAAAATAAAATGAAAAAAACTGAAAGAATTTGAGCCGAAGAAATTCTATAAAAAATATCTCAATAGAATTGTCTATTGAATTTCTGTTAAATATCTGAGAATGACTATCAAATTCTATTAAATTTTTCCCGCTCATAGATACGAAAACAGATGAACACCACGATTGAAAGACTTAACGAGATAATGTGATAAAACGAGAAAATGAATGTACTTAATGAATAATCATCGTTGCCACCAGCTCAATTAATTAGTCTAACGCTAGGCAATCCTAGTCAAATAAATCGGGCCTTATGAACATTAATCCAACGATTTGAGGCCGAATTTTGCAATTAGTTTGTAAAGATGCGCGATAAATTTTCTATGTAGACTTTTACCGAAATCATCACAGCTATTAAACCCCTTTGGCTGTACGACGACCGAAGAATGAAAAAAATTTGCTACAAAAATTTAGGCATACGGAAGAATTGCTTCGTTTTTTATACAACTCTGATTTACAGTGATATTTGATAATGTGATGTCTTTTGGACTCTTCAGCATTGACAGAGGATGAATCTAGTGCATTTAGCTTGACATTCCAATAGAAATATGAAACTAAAGCATAATATCTTGGACGAGGCCAATAGAAGAACATCGAAAAAATGAAGACACTAAAAAAAAATTTAGTGGAAAAACTCAGTCATAGGTCAACTCAGTTATTTGATTGGTTTTTTGGCTTTAAGGGGACACTAGTACGAGTGTTGAAGATTCCGGACCGTTGGGGTGAGATTTTAAATCCATAATAGCTAATTTAACTTGTTTTGATTGCACCATTCATGTAAAATACCCGCAAAAATGTTTCTGCATTTCTGCATCCTTTTTGGGCAATTTTACATGAATGGTGCAATTTTTTATTAAAAAAAGTGAAATTAGCTGAATTCAAAAAAATTACTCGCAATTGTACTCATTTTTTTTTCAAAAATTGAAAAAAAAAACCTGTAGATCAAAAATTGGAGGCCCTCGACTATTTTTCTACATTTCAAGATCAAATTTATCCACTCGGATAGTCAAGGATGAGGCGTTGAATATGAGTCATGAAAATTGTTACCACTATTGTGTTTTTGTTCTTAACGAGTTTTTTTTTTTTTTTT